AATTGTTTTTTATCCCTGTTTTGCTGTTTTAAATTTTGTTGTTGTTTTTGTAGTATCATTTATAATGTACCAAGGTACGGTGAGTTTTGGATGGTAATGGTGTAAATTCTTTCCATACTTAACATTGCTTGAGTTATATTGTGAGGTTCTGATTACTGTGCACAAGAGATGTCCTAGTCACTGTCAGCCCAGCCATTTCCAAGGTCATTAGAAACTAGAGATTAGAGTCTAGTCTCTGTGAAGTGGTAAGTGACTGTACATTTAAAACATGATTTAAAAAAAAATTTTTTTTTAGATATTGATTCTGGCCCTGCATGTTCTACTTTAGGATTAGATGTCCCTAAAGTGGCAAGCACCAAAAATGTTATCTATATTCCATCAGTTTTTAATTTCATTCTTTCCTTTTTATTTCTTTCTTCCCACTTTTCCTGTATAATCCTCTACCTCTTCCTCATGTTTGCCTTATTGTATGTGTAGTGCCCACAACCCAGATGTAGCCGCAAAACCAAAAAGAGGAGAAAATCACCTCAAGTATGTATGCTGGAGAGATTAAAGCTCTATTGTTCTTACTTTTGGTGTCATTGTGGTGGGTGGAATTTGCCATTTTTCCAGATCAGCCTGAGTTACAAGGAGAGGATTTTCCAGTTTTGTTCTTGACATAAAAGAAGTGCCCAACACATTGTAAAGTGAGATCATAAAGATTCTCCGACAGTAGTTACTTTATCACACTCATTTGTGCACCATGTCACAAGATTGTTTCCTGCAAATGAAAGCCTCAGTTGTGAAGCTTTAAGTACAATATATAGTATAGTACGGTAGTATATATTTTTATTTTAAAATATCTGCTAAGTGCCATCATTTGCAAGACCAAGCTTCAACTGTTATTTATAGGATACTTAGCTAAAACATGAGAATGATGTATATGAATATACTCTGCTTTGGTTGGAAGCATTCAGCTTCTGTTGTTTTCCAGTGATTATTTGGCAAGGGCAAGAACATAGGTGAGTGTATGTATCATCATCATGTCAAAAGTAAATCTATTTTTTTCTGATTTACAGATAAATGTCTCTCAAGGATCAAGTGGTGGCCCTCAACAAAATCTGAATGGTTTGATGGTGATACATGGGATACACTTACAACAAAGGAATCTGCCTCTAATAGACAAAATATTGTAAGAGTAGTAGCTTTTTGTCTTTGTAGTATTGTAGTAAAGTTGAGCTCTTTAATGCTGGGAAAGAAGAATGTATTGAGATTAAACCCAGTGTCAAGGAAATTAATCTCCCATAGTGTAAGCAGCGGTTCTCAATTATTTTCTCACCTATTTATCTGTTCTCAGTGATACAATATATTTACTACACTTGCACATGACTAATTTTAAGCTCCTGTGTAAACCCACTGGGACTACTCACATGATTAAAGTTAGGCACATGCTTAAATACCTTGCTGAATCAGGATCTATGATTTCATCAGGGTACCCAATATACCATAGTCTGGATCTGTAACAAGCCTGCTGTTTCATATAATGAGTCTCTATTAAAGAAAGGCCCCTCTTGCCAAATGGCAAATTGTGTGGTGGTTTTGTGACATGCAACAGATGGAACAAGCAAACTCAACACCTTTTTGTTTCTGATTTAAATATGATTTCAACTTGGTCTACAGAGATGAAAGATTAATGCACTAACCCATTAAGACATCTAATCCCAAATTTTTAAAATTTCTTTTTTTAATATGGCTAGTTTATCACTTAGTGAGCTGTGGTCTGAATCACAACCTGGTACTAGCTGGCATAGCTTTTGTCATCCTGAAGAGGACAATGACAGGTTGAATGGAATTAGAAACTAATGTGCCCTCTTATCCCTAGAGATAGACCTGTTTGGTCTGGTCTGAGGCACAAAGCCAAGGATGTGAGGATTTAGCTTACATTCCCACTCTCTACGTTGTTGCTGCATTTGTTCTGTGAATAATAGTAATTCTTCCATTTCTATTCTCTTCAGTCTGGAACATTTCATGATGATTAAAAATAAAGCCTAACTCCTTTCTTTCTGTTCCTTGCCCTATTCCTTGGTAGCACAGCCCTCCGTGACATCTTATATAATGGTATCAAAAGTGTACCAACTTTATCAGTACATAATGTTGCTATTGTAATTTTCAGACAAGGACTGTGCTAACAGTATGAAATCTGTCATAATGACCATGTTTATGTATGTTTCATTTGGTTCCTTGATTGTGTTGTTAGGGATCTGGATGACAAATCGCTATTAAGGCCAGGCTCCAGTTCCATCCTCTCAACAAGAACGCGACCAAATCGCACTCTAGAGCTGAGTACGTCTTCTCTGTCATATTCTGCTCATTCTGCTAGAAGACGCAACCCACCACCACGCACCCTGCATCCCATCAACACTAACCACTCTCGTTCTGGGACACCAAGATCCATGGATGAAGTCATCAGGGGAACACGACTGTATGTTTAAAAACCAGTTTTTCACTCTACAAATTATTATAACCAATGGTTTATAGAACCGAGTAAAGTGAAAAAGCTGTCAAATGGAGACAGTATCTAGAATTTTTTTATTAAAAAAATATAATTGCAAATTAAATCACTGTCTCCTGAGAAAGCTGAAACTGCTACATTTCCTAAAACTGACGTAACGTTTTAGCTGCAACCTATGTTTCTGAAAATTGCCTAAGCATGTGATGCTGTGCATTGCTGTATAAGAGAGACTACATCCCTATAAGCTTTCAAGCAACTGGAGAGCAAACTTAATTTTATTAATTGCTGCCTTGGAGAGAGGAGGAGAGTTGCATGAAAAGATGTACAATATGATAGCTACAGAGGATGCTAATCTTAGTGAGTCTGTTCCAAAGCCCACTGAAGTCAGTGGAAAGACTCCCATTGACCTCAATGGGCTTTGGATCAAATCTAGAATGAAATTATTTTCATTTTCCTCTAGTCTTTTGCCTGCATCCAAAACAGACTTTTATACTTTGAAAGCAGCTGAGTCACCCTGGAGTGCGAGTACCAAGAGCTGGCTCTTCTGGATTTAGAAATGACATGCCAAAATGCATCATTCTGGGAAGCCACAAGTACCAAAAGTGTCTAATTGATTTCTGAAGCTTCTGGTACCTGTGACAACCCAGAATGATATATTGTGCAGCATTGCTAGTAAACCCAGAAGAGTCACTGGATTTCACAGACCCTAAAAATGTTTTGTTTAGAAAGGTGAATTAAAGTTTCTTTCTCTGTTGAATGTCCTTTGCAGGCAGGCTAGTGGCAGAATTCTGCATGTGTTTCTGGAACTGACTTGACTTTTCCATCTATATTTAAGAATGGACTCGTGTCCTTTTAACCTCATCCAATCTAGCCTGTCTTCTCTACATCTTTTTTTAGATGTTGTCATTATTACCAACTCAGCTGTAAATTACTTAATAGATGATTCTCCTTTTTTCTTCCAATGTCTTGTAATGTCTCTCTTCGCTATTCTCAGACCCAGAGATTCATTTCACAGTTCTTGAATTACCCCCTTTATTCTTGGCATATATATACTAAATGCATACAGTGGGTTCCAGGGAGAGGTATTAAAAAATGTGGTTATGTTTTCAAGCTCTTGTAACACATAATTCCAGAATGTCCTCCCAATCTGGCAATCTCAGAATGTATGCATATAATACCCAATACTGAATATCTTCAATACTTATCTCATAAATGAACTCTATTCGCATATAAATTGCAGTATTTTCAGAGCAGAATACCTATTTTACAACTTTCTACTTTTGTTTGCACATTTGTAGTTATTCCTTAACCTCTCAGATTATTAATACAAATATTATGTAGATTTAAACATCACAATTTAAAGCAGAATAGTTAAAAATCATTTCCCTTTTTGCTTACTTGTCAAAATTTTGTGTCTTCTCTGCAATAGTTGCTAATTAATCATCACTCAGACCTCAGAGAAGCCAAGGAGTGCTGCTCCCTGTCTTGTTTTAGATGTCATTGATTCCATCAACTTTGTAATATAAATACTGAATTTGCCTTTTGTTGGGTAGAAAGCTTCTGAGTTCACCTTCTTAAAAAAAGGATTTGCTCTTAACAAGCCTTTTACAACTTACCTTTTTGTTCCTGTAATGAAGTAAAATTTGTGAGATCACAGTTAGTGATTTCATAGACAAGCAGGATGAGAAACAGAGCTGTGTGGGAGAATCTCTTGCTAAAACACACGTTTCAGCAAAAACAACGAGGAGTCCTTGTGACACCTTAGAGACTAAAATTTATTTGGGCATAAGCTTTCGTGGGCTAGAACCCACTTCATCAGATGCACGTAGCAGGTATATAGACACAGTACATGAAAAGATGGGCGTTACCTTACTGTCTCAATGTCATAGCTAGGTCTGAAACGTATCTGGGAGGGATGCAGCGATAAGTAATTATGCGCTGCTAGAGCTGGGCTCCTGTTACCTTTCCCATGACCTTGCTTAGGGTTGTGAAGATCTGAGATGTAGTGAAACTGCTGAGACGATTGGTATTTTGACCATTGACTGGACCATAGCATACCTCAGGGTCTCTGGAAGGTTTCCCTTCCCAAGGGATACATTGACAAAATGCATGAAGAGCAATCCCAAGCCTACTAACAAGGGAATACAAGAAATTACTGGCTAAAACAATTTTGTAACTTTTAAAAAATAATTTCAAGTTTATTCCAGTGCAGTGCTCGCCCTTGAAGGCTAGTTCTCCTATACTCTCCACACAACAACCCAGCGTCTTAAATTAAAATTCTGCATGTGTTGTCCTGAGTTTTATTGTTTCATTTGCTTTAGCTCACATCAGTCTCATAATCTCTGGTATTAATGTATATTTTTGGTTGTTGGTGGTGGCGGAATCCAGTCCTACTGCACATGACCAGCTGTTCTCACCCTCCTTAATGCCCTTGAGCCGAAATAATCTTCTGCCACCTATTAGTACTGCTGACGTTGTGGAACACTTGAACACCGTGGGATCCCAAAGGCAAACGGTAACCTCCCAATTTGTATGTTATATGAAAACACATTTAATTATATTCTTTGGAAATGAGAGACATGTTAAAGTTGAATTTATCTCACAACAGATTGCATTGGCAAATTCAAGAATTCTTGTATTTTTATTTTTGGTTTATATTTTTGTTGTTATCCAAATTATCCTGATGTTCTTAGACGTTCTTCCTCATAGTTATGATAATAAAATGCTGTAATACAAAAATAAGATCATGAGTTTTGACCAACAAACTGGAACAAAGTTGAGTGCTTTTCAAACCCAGTGAAAGTAGGAACCATTTTCTGTTTCCTGTGAAGATGCTCATAGATGATTAGACTCTGATTCCAAGATTTTATCTTTAAAGTAGTCACGATCAAAAATAGTCTGATTGTTAATTTTCCTGTACTTTGATGTAGGATCCCCGAGGGAATTCCAGTCGAGCTCAGAGTGCAATGGAAGATGAGATTAACCATCAGCAGCCACAGGAGAGGCTTTTCTTACCTGATCATTTCTCCAGGCCTAATACAACACATGCATTTTGGGTAAAAAGTGGCAAATGTATCCAAATAGTATGTAGATCCAGAGAGATTGTTTGGTAGATTTTGCTTTAGCTGTTAGCATTTATAAATACTTAATGGAGAACTGGATGGCTCAAGTGATTGGTACAGAACCTTTAAGTCCTAAATCCCCATTTCAAATCTGCCCAGGTTGGTAGATGTAAAGTTGTTCGGCACCTGTGAAATGACAATGTGACCTCAGTCCAGTTCCTAGAGGTTAAGTGTCCATGCCTCCAAATTTCCCACAACCAGCTCTCTTTATTGTCAGTATTTTCAGCTATTCGAACTACACTCTTCTCCTTAGAGATGATCCTTCCAGAACAAGTTTGAGGTATATTGTGGAGAAGCTTGTACTGCTCTTGATTGAAATTTGACTTTAATCTTCAGAGTTTTTCAAGCCAGTATCTTTCATGAGAATTACACTCATGAAGAAATGGGGAAGAAAAAAATGCTTTGCTTTGTAAACTTAAAGGACTTGTTGGGCTATCTACTCAACCTCCTGCATAACTGAAGGATAGTTTTCTTAAGTTTCCTGAACAACCCCATATTATTTGTATTTCAATTTCATTATCAGATGCTGCTGTATAGCTCTTTATTTTAAAATTTACTGGGGAACAGTCTGGCTGGCTTCTTGTCCCAGCTTTAACTAAACTTTTATATTATATTAAGCTTTGTGAGTATTGAGTCCTGCAGCACAGCTCATGATTTTCATGTACAGTTTTGGCATTGCTGAATTACTAATTAGGAACACTTGGGCTTCCTATCTTGAAACTTAAGTAGTTTCAGAAACTGAAATAATGATAATGAATGGCTAAAGCGGCAAAGAGTCCTGTGGGGCTCCTTATAGACTAACAGACGTATTGGAGCATAAGCTTTCGTGAATACCCACTTCATCAGATGCATGAATGGCTAGTGATGCTTCCAAGTAATATATAGTAGATTGGGGGAGGGAGTGTGGACAGCAGCGTTGTGTCTTCTGTCCAATTTAACCCAAGGGAGAACAACCTCAAGATATTAATCTTTGTATATTAGGCTCATATAGTATACTTATGAGGTCTGGAGTTACTGGGCAACATTAAAAGTGTTCTGTTTTCATAAAATTCTTGGTATTGGGACTTTGCCATTTTTAAAAATCCTGTTACTGCAAGTATTCAAAACTAGTTCACCTTATCTTTCAGCCAGATCCACCGTATCGCCGTTCTTGCACAGTTATTGATTATGCGAATCAAACCCGGACCAGTAGAGGATCAGCAGGCACAGGTACATGCAATATTTTGACTGAAATAATAATAATGGATGTGATGTGGGGTATTTGCTGCTTTCATATCACATCACTTAAGTTATATCTGCAACATGAACAGAAAACCTCTATTAATACATTTATTTTATATTTGATTTATTCTTCTGATCTACTATTATACAAAGTTTCACAGATATGGGGCTTGTGTGGTTTTTCCTCCTGCCATATGTAACAGTTTAAATAATTCAAAGGACTTTTTACACTGTGGACCTTGATCCTTCTCCTATTAAAATACATGGAAATTGACTGAAGTGAAAGAAAGATCAAGTACTATACGTGTGAAATTCAAAGTTATATTTTTCTGTTGGTTCTGGTTCACTACGTGTGTAACTAAGGCCTTGCCTATATTAAAAGCTGTGCTGGTTTAACTGAAAGTCAATGTAGTTGAATCAAGGTGGCAAAATCCCTATAGGGATACTTTCACATCAGTTTAAACCCCATACATCAATTTAGCTTCATTTGACTTGTAACCCAATTAAGCTGAATACACACACACACTCTCTCTCTCAAAATCCACTTTTAGTTAAACCAGTGCAGCTTCTAAATGTAGACGAGGTTTTGCATGGGGAGGGGAGGGGATGAATTTAGTGGCAGATAATATGCATTCCCTAGCCTGAACTGCCCTACTGTTCTAGAAATGCTAATGATACAATCTTTAACTTTTAAAACAAAGCCATTCTTATATGCTTCAGATACAACCCCCACTACCATTCTGTGACTTAGCAGCAGGGTACATGAAGCGATGTGTGTGCAACTGCACTTTTGCCATAGAAATCATCTAGGGAGGGAGGCCTCCTGTCTCCATCAACTCTTGCTTCAGAGATCTCAGGATTACTGTAGGGAGGATGTCAGTCATCGTACTATGCAATTACACAGCACTAAAAATCAGTAAACCAAATCTATACAGTATATATTGTTTTCAGGTATGGCTGGGTTGTTTACATTGGAAAATGGTCTGGATTGTAAATCCTTAAGTGGGATAAGCTTTTCACCTCAAACTCAAAACCCATCCTCTGTATCTATTTTAATACTGGAATGTTTATTATTCTACAGATTCTATTAACATAAGAGTGAGGGGAATCACATTAGGGATATCTAGTTCTTCCTGTATTAGTTCTTTTCACCATCATGCTCTGGGTCATTCTTTTGATGAGGAGAGATATCATTCTCCATTGGGTAAGAAATGAGGCAGGAGACTTGAAAACTGTTAAATGTTCTTGGTGCGTTTGTATCGGATAGTTGTTGGTCTGTCAGATTCCTAGTAGATAGGTGTTAGGATGGTATTTATTATCTGAGCTGGTATCAGACATGCCAAACCCATGGAAAAAATGCAGAAACTGGGCTTGTTTTTGGCTTAATTGGCTTGTTGGCTAGTTTTTGGCTTGTTGCTTCTTTTTTTTTGGTTGGCTCCTGGTAAGCAGGGGCAAGTGGGGAGAGTGTCAGGGGTGCACAGCGGGCCCACCCCAGTCCCAGAGTGCACGCTGGGAAGATTAGTCACGTAGAGTGTTGGGGTCCTTAGGGATTGGTTTATTTTGGCCTTGTTTTGAAATGGGATTAGCGTGATTTTTGGCTTATTGTGAAAATCGGAGTGCTTATTTACTGCGTGAAAGTAGGCAACTGGGGCTGGTATCCTTGTCAATGATTGAACAGTCAGAGAGAGCATCTGATGGTTCCTTCACCTCAGTGTTGAAGCACATGGTCAGGGGGGAAAAAGAGGGAGTGGGTGGAGAATTGACCTGTTGCTGTCTGTTGTGGGTACTATTAGAAAGCTCTTAGAGGTTGCCCCTTTCTGGGGGAATTCTTGAGTCCCATGATTTGTGGTGTTAACTCTAATAAGGCATACTTTTCCCTCCTTCGGAATCAGTGGAATGGAGTGCAGTGAAGCAGCCACTCACTCAGCTAGTGAGCACAGCAGAAACCAGCCCAAGAAGGGATAGCAACAGGAAGGGTCTGGCATATAAATTCTCCAGGAACGAAATGCACACCAACTTGCTCCAGCAGCAGCTCCATGTTATCTCCCCTACTCAGTTCTGGACTGGGGTGGAGGGAGGGTATTAAACACTTTAAACAGCACGTTACTGTGCAGCAAGCCAGGTTGTGAAGCTACAGTGCACTAGCTTACCATGCAGTAACACCCTGTGTGGACTTTGATATAGTGCAGTTCAAGTAGTAGTGTGCCAAGCCAATGTCCAGGACTTTATGCTCCTTAGCAGGACATTATTTTGTGATATGACAAACTGCTGTGATTTAAAATCTTACCCTAGCTTGCCACACAGTAAACTTGCCATGTAGACAAGCCCTAAGGGCACAAGTATGCATGTGTTTCTCCCTCCCCTCCAAGCCTCCAGGGAATTAGCTCCTTCTCAGGCCAAGCTCCCCTCAACTCCTCCTCTCCCATTGCTGCCAGACTTTGTAGAGCACACAGACTAGGAGCCTAAGTACTTAACCCACCATTATCAGAGTATCTGAATAGGGCTCAGGCTGGAGAGTGCTCAAGGGCATCTCTGAGTGGAACACAGAGGAAGGAACTAGGATGCATGATCTAGCATCAAGAAAGAAAAGAAGGGAAATTGGTGCCTGGTATGTTTTATGTACATTTCACACTGATTTTTCAAGCTGAAACATCCATAGCCAAAGTGAGTATTGCTGACTATGCTTAGAAGACAGACCAAAAGAAGAAACTGTCTTAAGTCATGATGTTTTGTTTTTTTTTTGTCAGTTTTGTGAGTTGGTTTCTCATGATTTTTTAGGATGGTAAATATTAGACTCTCCTGTCCTCATGCTGGTACTTCTCACACGCACTGGAATTTATCAAGTATTCTTAGTACAAAGCTTCTTTGATGGATCATGTCACAGAACATTCCCCAATAATACAGCAGCTACTTTCAACCAAGGATTTTCATACCTTTCTTACCTTCAGAAAGTTTCATAAAAGGCATATTTTATTATTGAATATAATCAGCCTTGGTTTTTAAAATGAAGATACTGCCATTGCTAATAAATAAATTAAAGCATATTTTAACATTGAAAAAGTGTATATATATAGTTTTGGTATTTAAGACTTCTAGCAGATACTAAAATTGATGTTTTACCTAATCTGTATGTAGTAGGTCTTCAGCTACAGGGTTCTGTAAGAGCTCACAGCAGAGGTGGATCAGTTACAAGAAGCAGACAAGCATTGTAATGGGTAATGAACAAGGATCCATCCCTCACCATGATGCAGTGAGCACAGCTGGACACTCATGAAAGTGTTGAATCTCAGCAATATTAAACTTGTTTACAGAAGAATTTAAGAACATCTTCATGAAAGATCTTATTTTTGTATGTTATATTTTTAAAAAGTAGCTGCCAAAGACTATAGGGTACTCAGCACATTTCAGTTTTCTTCCTGTAGACCAGGTTTTGCTATTCTGGTGAACACTAAAGCTTGTACCCTAAAAGTCTACCAATTTTTCCGCTAAACCACTGCTAATATTTTTCATATTAAAAAGGACTTTGGCTCAGGACTCTTTGGTTCCTGTTACTGCAGTAGGAGCACTACTAGAACAGTTGCCTAACTTTGTGAAAGACTATTGCACTTTTCACAGTAATCTATTTACTATATAAAAGGATTTTTTTTTTAAAAAACTTAATTATTACGTTGATATTTCTGGCATGATTTCTCTATTAAAAATGAGTAGACTTATTGCATATAATGCTGCCTGTACAACTGTTGTGTACACATAATTTGGACAAACTGTGGATCCTATGGTGAGAACACCAGCTACAGCAACAGTTGCAGCATAAAATAAGGTAGCAAATGAAGAAATCTTGTGCTTCCACATTTGCTAATTTTAACTTGCAGTCTTAACTGTAGCATGCTACTGTCCCTTCCTGTATTATAAACTAATTCTTCTCCACCAGTGACTCAGGCAAGTGTTCTCAAGGGACAAAAGCAATCTTATTTTGCTGAAAATTTATTCCCACACACTACTCAAAGTAAGAGAATCCTTTAAGTATTCTTCTTGATTAAATATTTTAAGTAATTTCAGCAGATGGATGTCTCCATTTTGAAACAAATTAGGGTGACTAAAGAAATGTTTCTGTGCACCAGCATCATTCACCATTTCAGTCGCCCAGGAGAGCTTTCTTAGGCACAGACATATTCCGCTTCTGTAAGACAGACATACTGAGATATTTTAGAAACGGTTACCATTAAGACATAAATGTCGCTTATGCATTAAATGCAACAGTTTCACAGTAAAGCAGCTAAACTGTAATTCAGTTTAACTACAAACATTATATTCAGGTCTTACTATTAACAGTAAGTGCTAGACTGCAAATATATGTCATAAATTGAGGGGAACCTGTTATTTTTGAACAAAAGGTATTCTGCTACAATGTGAAGAGAGTTACTTTGAGCAAACTGATTCTTTAATAAAAAAATTGTCACCTTTTATATGCAATTAAAAAGAAGCTTTTTAAACTTCATCTGTTCGTTTGTAATTTGAAAATACTGAGGAACAATAGATGTGTTTTGTCAAATGGCTTCATTGTTGCCTACTGAAAATACATACATGATGCAAGCTTCATGAATCGAGACTGAAATGACTATTCCAGGGCACATTTGTTCTTTAGTGGCCACATAAGTCCCATTACCACTAGAAGTCCTCTTGCTCAGACAGAGGAAAAAATATCCTTTACAATCATAGTCTGTTAGCAGATGCAGCGATTTAGCCCTCTCTCTCACCAAAAAACATGTTACAAATTCCACTAACCACTTTGTCTTTTAGCAACTTTTTTACTCAGATTTTCCTCCCTCCCCTCCTCATGCAAAGACCTCACCTCAAAAATTCCTGTTAATGGAAAAGCAGTCCAACCCTCTCCTGTCTTCTTGGTTCAACCATTCTCTGTTCAGAAAAATGAAAGAATAGTGTTGGCAAAAGACTTATGATGGGATAACACGATTTTGGTAATTAATTGATCTTTTAACTATTCATGGTAAATAGGCCCAGTGGCCTGTGATGGGATGTCAGATAGGGTGGGATCTGAGTTACTACATAGAATTCTCTCCTGGGTATCTGGCTGGTGAGTCTTGCCCATATGCTCAGGGTTCAGCTGATCGCCATATTTGGGGTCGGGAAGGAATTTTCCTCCAGGGCAGATTGGAAGAGGCCCTGGAGGTTTTTTGCCTTCCTCTGTAGCATGGGGCACGGGTCACTTGCTGGAGGATTCTCTGCTCCTTGAAGTCTTTAAACCATGATTTGAGGACTTCAATAGCTCAGACATAGGTGGGAGGTTTTTCGCAGGAGTGGGTGGGTGAGATTCTGTGGCCTGCGTTGTGCTGGAGGTCAGACTAGATGATCATAATGGTCCCTTCTGACCTTAGTATCTATGAATCTATTTATATTCTTGTGGTGCTTAGGAGCCATAGTCAGACCACAACCCCATTGTGCTAGGTGCTGTACAACATGGAACAATCCTTAACAGACATGGGGTTCCCTTCCTTAAGATTTAGTGGTCTTATCTCAGATGGTTACAGACAGAATGATACACAACACACCAAAGCACCACTGAATTAGCTAAAGGCATTAACTTAAACATGATAGTTACAGGCAATCACTGTCTTTTCCAGGGCACTAAGTGGGCTGTACCAGTTGATTGACCAATTATAACCTCTCTCTAACTGAATCCACACAGTCTACTCATCTTGGTCGCTACAAAGGTTCCTTCCTTTAAGGAAATGAAAATTATTTAAATTAAAACAGTCAAAGTAGTTAAAATCAGGTCATATGGCAACACTTGTGTTGGGACCAAAATATTTTTCTCCACCACTCCTCTGTTTGTGATACCCTATTTACACACACAAGACAAATGCAGCTTCGGTGGTATTATGGCCCCTAACTAAAGGTACATGTTTGTAGCCTAAGACCAGCAGATACATTACAAAATTGGCCAGAGACCAGCTCTGGAGACTTATTTTTACCAAAATTCAATCGTTACAGATACAATTCCTGTGTGTGATAGAAAGGGGCCAACAGATGTCAAAAGTTTGCACTACTGAATGCTTTTGTTTGGTAAGATTTGTTTTGCACCAAATCATAGTTACTTAATGATTTAATATAGCTTGTCTGTCAGCTTCAGAACTGTTAAAAGCAATGAGGTAACACATACCATGAAATACTATTCTCCTCCTTAAAAAGTCAATCAATCCTTTCAATACAGTTCTAGGCAATCTTAAATTCAGGGGGTGATCTTAGAAACTGATGAGTACCTGTAACTTCCATTACCTTCAAATTGCAAATGTTCAGCACCTGGCTACTAAAGAGGCCTACAAAAATAGGTTTCATTCAGCTAATGCGTTTTTTAAATTAACTGCCCCTCCAATTTATACCAAGGCATATTACATGCATTTCTGCTGTCTTTAAATTATTCTTACTAAACTTACTACAGAACTATTCCTTCACTGAGATTTTTTTCTTAAGTAATGTAAGCAACTTTGTGTATTTTTACAATAGACCAGTTCTATGAGAACTTTCATACAACTTACAGAAAGAGGGCTTCATTATGGAAATAATGAACTGGTGACAGTTAGGCCTCTTGCAGGACAAGTGTCTACATAATCACATGCCATTGTGGGAATATATGTCTATCATTTTGCTTAAATGATTGGTTTTCTGTCAGATGCTAAAATCATGTAGTATTACTTCATGTTAGGCAATCCAACATCAGGTGTTTGAACAGATAGTCAATTTCATTATTACTGTTCTATTTTAGACATCTATAAAAACACTTGCAAAAACATGGGGTTGAAAAAACGAGTACTGCAGTTTTGCAAAAAACTTTTATTAAAGCTAGTTTTCAAAAATATCTTTAATAAAACCACAAATATTTGAAAAACTCTTGCCCTGCTTATCAGAAGTGCAAAGACCATAAGAAGAGCAACAGGGTATTACAGAAAAAACTGGTAAGCATGAACAGAACTAGAAAAGAAGATATTCAGGTAACAGGCCACACAGACCAACATTTTAAAGACAATCCTGTTAAGTTACATTGTTTTGCCACCAGCAATCTCACCATATGGGTTTTGATGTGCTTCCACAATTCAAATTTTGAAAGACATAGATCCAAATAGTAAATTTACAACCCTTATCTGGGGCACAATGGTAATCCAATAACCTATTTAATCCTAACTAAAATTTAGGAGAAGAAGATTTAAAATAGTGTCACCAAAAAGTTCGTTTTCATCTCACTTGCTATCATATCTTCCCAGCCACAATGCACCGATGCGCATGTGCTCTACACTGGAAGTCAGGAAGGTTGCAGAGATTCACTGGAACTTAGGTGTTCATTTGTGGATTGACAAAGGCTAGAAAGTCAATAGATAATTATTTCTTTGCCTTCTTGGGTGCTGTTTTCTTTCTTCCTTTTTTGGAATTGTTTCCATACTTTGCTTCCATCTGAGCCAGAAAGTCATCTATTTCTTTTTTTCTATCTTTATTTCTGCTCTATAAAATGAATGAGAAATCTGTTTACCAAAAAGTCATTGTGAGATCCAACTTCATTAGAATACTCTGTATAGTTAAATAAGATGTTGAGAATATGGAAGATGTATTACAATTATGTAAAAAGAACAGGAGTACTTGTGGCACCCTAGAGATTAACAAATTTATTAGACCATAAGCTTTCGTGGGCTACAGCCCACTTCATCGGATTCACAGAATGGAACTTATAGTAAGATATATATATATACACACATACAGATAAGCTGGAAGTTACCATACAAACTGTGAGAGGCTAATTAGTTAAGATGAGCTATTATCAGCAGGAGAAAAAAACTTTTGTAGTGATGATCAAGATGGCCCATTTAGACAGTTGACAAGAAGGTGTGAGGATACTTAAGGAAATAGATTCAATATGTGTAATGATTAGTAATGTAATTAGTCTCTAAGGTGCCATAAGTACTCCTGTTCTTTTTGCGGATACAGACTAATATGGCTGCTACTCTGAAACCTATAATTATGTAAAAATCTGTGGTCCACCTTAATCTAATATCTAAAAATAAATGTTAAGCAAGGCTACAAAAGGGCAACAAAAATATTTACTGATTGACAATAAGCGCGGGTTCCTAGAAGGAGGTAACAGACCAGAACTATATTCTGGAAAGGAAAAATGATCTAGGGATCTAATTTGTTTATACAAATACAGCATAAGAGATTCCCTTGCCATTAACTAAAATAGGTACAATTCAAAAATATAACGTAAACAGCAGCACATTTCCTCCTCCACCCCTACAAACATATCAGCAAGCATAATTCAAATTAGCATCTTCACATCCCCTTCCAAAGCAAACCATCCCTCCCATAGCCACCTCAGTGTTCGCTAAATGCCTATTCAGATGGGCCTTGCTGCATACAGGGAAGATCAGCAGATTCAGGCTATTTCAGATCAAGGCAGGGAGAACAGATGCAGTGAATTCCAAAGTCAAGGGTTCTTCATGCAACACCCTTTGTCAGAAGCGCGCTCACATATACAGAGGGAGCTCAAAGTCAAACTCAAGCACCTCCATCAGCCTCAACAGCGACAGTATGGCATGGGGAGTAACGCAATTCCTCAAACAGAAAAATCTCAGGTCAGTTACAGCTTGCTTTTCGAAGGGGCTGAGCATGCAGTTCTCATTGGACTTCAATGGACTAGTGGGTGCTCAGCACTTCCAAGAAGCAGGCCACTGAACTTTATAGGTAAAAATCAATACCTTAAACTCCGCCTGGAAAACATTAAGCAGCCACTAAAGCTCCTGGGAGTACAGATATCATGTGTTCACAGCAAGACCCTTCACTTAACTATCAAGTTACTACATTCTTCATAGCTTCAGATTTTAAATAAATTTAAGGTGCAACCTCATGTAGACTGCACTGTAGCTGTCCTACCTACAGGAGACGGAAGCACAGATCATAGCAGCATGGTCCACCTCAGAAAAAAAAAAAAAAGAATGCAAGCTCCTGGCCAGACACAGATAGTAAAAAGCCAACTTGGTTGTAGATGCTCTTTTGTCCTTTAAAAACAGCTGAGAATTTAACTACATCCCTCAAGATATGACCTGTGAGGATGTCTGGCCTTCATTTGTAATCGGAGGAAATTATAAAATCTCTGCTAACTACAAGTTGCATCTTTCAAACTTCATAATCGCTAATATTCTCAGGATTCAAACTTAGCTTTCTTGCCCTTACTCAGAGCCCAAATTTGCCTACTTGACAACATGCTCTGGGATGGACAAACTACCTATATAAAGGTAGGTGTTATCAGCATGAGAACACTTCGACACATCTCACTAGCGAGTGGCCTCACATGCACATTGAATAAGGGATGACAGACTAGTTCCTTATGGTCCCCAACAGGATAGAGACCTCAGGGCAGACTACCACCACATGACCTGTGAAATCTTTCAGGGAGTAAAGAACGAAGCCAATGAAGAACATTCCTGTCTACACCCATCAGGGACTGCAAACACATCAATGGCTCCTTTACTGTAGTATCTATTTAGTACAGCAATTTCTAGGTTCCTAATCTAAACTTTCATGGTTTATTTGGGACCAGAATAAGTATAACTACAGTGAACCAGGTTATCTTAGTGTAAGTGAATTTATTAAATAAAATTTTGCATCATATTCAGTGTTAATCAGAGCCTTCTGAAGACTAAATGAAAGGCATAAAATTCAACACTAGGACTCATTCCAATCTCCAGTAGATTTTTTTTTCCCCCAATATGCAATAATCTGTAAGCATATTAGCCTATTGGCATTTGGGCACCAAAAGGGAACAACTATCTGAAGTCAAAGACATAAAAATGCCTTCTCTACAGAGATCCTCAAATCTTACTTGAATTAGTGCTTTCAAGTCATCTTCCCCATCA